AAGCACAGGGAGGAGCTGAAGGATGGGATATTCCAGGGAATGCCCGAGCCTTGCCCACAGGGAATTGTTTTGTTCAGGTGCTGAGGGCTGGCTGAAATGGAGTGAGGGTGGAGCAGGGAGAGATCCCAGAATCAGGGAATGGTTTGGGTTGGAAGGGACATTAAAGATCATTTATTTCCACCCCCAGACACCTCCAACCCCAATGTCCCAACCTGGAACTGAACATTCCAGGGATCCAGCCACAGCAAATCTGGGAATTCCATCCCAGGGAACAATTCCTAATTCCCAAAATCCCATCAAATCCTACTCTGAAGCCATTCCCTGGGTGCTGTCCCTCCATTCCCTGGGTGCTGTCCCTCCATCCCTTGGCAATTGTCTCTCTCCATAGTTCCTGCAGCTCCTTCAGGCCCTGCAAGGCCACCCTGAGCTCAGCCCAAAGCTTCTCCTCTCCAGGCTGAACAATCCCAGCTGTGCCAGCCTTTCCTCCCAGCAGAGCTGCTCCATCCCTCTGCTCATCCTGCTGCCTCCTCTGGGCTCTCTGCAGCAGCTCCAGCTCCTCCCCGTGCTGGGATCATTCTCTGCTGTCACCAGAGGCAATCCTTGGCCTCAGTCACTACCCCAGTGGAGCATTTGCATGTCGTTATCAAAATGTAAATTGAGGTTTGGGATGAGTTTCTCGCACCCCTCCCACTCTCTTGGCAGAAGTTCTGGATGTTGCTTCAGTGGAATTGTCCCGGGAGAGCAGAGCAGGGCTCAAACACCCTCCAGGGAATGAGACTCACAGCTTGGGGCTGCTTAACCAGGAAAGAAATATTTCCAACTTCAGCTAAAATAGCTTAGAAAACTCAAGTTTTCTCCTGGAGCTTTCCTTTACCTGAGTTGCATCACTATCTGTATTTTTAGAGGAAAAATCTGATGTATTATTTTGGATTTGAGGACCAGCCTTAAAACAAATACTCTGCCAGCGTAAAGCTCCTTATTTATTTATTCTTATTTCTTTGGCTTGTAGTTTTGTTGTTTGGGTTTTTTTTTTTTTTTAATTCAAATTGTGGTTGAACTATCCCTGAAAAATACCCTCAGTGAACCAGGCAGCTGTGTGCATAAAAAAGAGATTTGAGTATGCAAATTCCAGATTTGCATATGCAATTACCTGGGCATGCTCAGGGTTTGCAGACAATGAATAAACTTCAGTTCTTTGAATATGCATCTGCTCGAAACAAAATCCTCCTGCTGGCAAACCTTCTGTTGGAAATCAATTCTTCAGTTGGTCGAGGAGTTAATATTTAATGAGATTCTGCATTTTAAAAAGGAAGTGGAGATACGATCCTGAGAAGGAAGCAGCACACGGGATCTGCCCGACCCAAATGCATGCAAAGGCTTCCCTGGAATTCATATTCCTTATTTTAGGCAAATCAGCTGCACTGGGAGGGAGCTTTCAGGCATGAGGAAAGGTTGGAGCCCCCCCAGCAGGAATCCCCCCCCCCCCAGTAGGAATTCACAGGTTTTGTATTGCTGAGTCATTCGTGACACAGCACAAAAGGGATTGTGGGGTCATGGAATGGGCTGGGAAGGGATTAAATCCCATCAATCCCACCCCTGCCATGGCAGGGACA